CTACATGAGTCACTGAGTCAGGTAGTGTCTAGAGGAGTTCGCACTTTCGCAGCTACATGGATCGTAATTCAGAGAACAATGTCATTGGCATGATGGCATCTGGTGCGCGCGGTGGTGCCTGGAGCCTGGAGGCTCTGAGGGTAGCTTCTGGCGAGCCAAGTAGGCAGCCAAATGGCGATGCTGCACGAACTGAGGGCCACCGAGTGATGCTGTAATCATGTTGGCTAGCCACGATTGTTCGAAAAAAGGATGTTTGGTTAGCAACGCTTAGTCCAGATGCCAGCAAGCGGTAGGCCACTCTTTGGCCGGATATTTTAGGAAACTATCCACCTCGGAAGATATTTTCTCGTGATCTCGCAAATCTAGAGTACTCCTACTTGTCAACCGGCGCCACCGCGCCAGCGCCACCAGAGAGAACCGAGGAGATATTTTCCTCATCGTCCGGTGGCGTATCTCCGGAGATATGCGTGGTGGAGCGATCAAGCACTCGATCGGCCCGTAAGCCGTAACCACCTGTACGCACGCACGGATCGCGCGTTCGTGAATGGTGGCCAGACGCCACAGTCCGGGCCAGCCACAGCCAGCGGCCCGACGCAGCTCCACCTCTCGTTTCGCCCTCTTTTTTCGCTGGTCTGCGGCCGGATCCGCTTTTGCCTCCGCCTCTCCAGCCTCCTCCTCTACTCCTCCTCTTGAGACGTGAGAACGTTCGATGCTCGGACGGCACGACAAGTCGACGAAGCCCTGGCGTTCTCAACCACGGAATGTGTAGATATGGCCCGGCCTCGGCTTCTATATATTATACCACGATGGCGACGTCCGAAGCGACCTCTGCCACCGGTCGACCCAAGCACCGGTCCGTCCAGAAGTGTATGCCCCTCCCTGCCGCCAAAAGCGTTGATCCGGAAAAAAGATCTTGCGCCCGTTAGGGAAAAATATCTCTGCGCGAACTTTGAAAATAAAAATATCTGCGCGCGCCCACGGAAGCTGACGCAGCTGGGTGAGCGTGAGCCTGTGAGCCAAGTGGCGGCAAAGGCAGAAAACAGAAAAAAAGAAGCAATGGACAGCCCGAGGCCCGAGGCCGGAGCCCTCCTTGGCTCCCTGCCGGCCTGCCCTGGTGGCGGTGGGCGGTGGGCACGAGTGCCGCCCTGGAGGCCGGAGCGCCACCCACTGCAACGGTTTGGTTCCATGATTCCGTCTCCTCATCATCTACGACTCTACGAGGTCACCCCCGAGATATTTCCCATTTTCCCGCGAACGCCAGCTGCCGGGGCGTGATGGTGCGCTCGTGTTCGTGGGCACACGGGCACGGCGCCGCGCATATGCTTGGCCTGTGGTCCAGCGTCATCCACGGTGCTCCACTCCACGCGAACGCCGCGGTCGAAACGCAATCCACAGGGCCGGAAGGGTGCAAGTTACGGATTGCTTGGCGTCCGTCTCCGTCAGCGACACCGGCGGAAGCTGAAAACCTTTTGAACCCCTCCTCTCACGTCTGGCCGGCAAGCAGTTTCTCACACAAACAGATGGTCACGGAAAATTGAGGCGACAGGTCCACGCCGAGCCACGTGAAGGCACTTCCCGTCCTTCCTTTCCGACGACCGATCGATCACTCGGCGACATCTCAAATCAGGTAGGCCGGCTTGAGAACAGGATTCTCACGCATGACATGATATATCCCATCGCGACCAATTGGTCCGGTCCGTCTGAATTTGCCGCAACTTCCAGCGACTATTATGCAGTGCAGTGCAGCACAGGGGAGGGAGGTATTAGTGCGCCACGTCGGAGCCCGTGATACCTTGGAAACCCAGAGTACCGACTATCGAGTGGTTTTGGATCGGGACCCCACGGCGTTGTCTCCTCCGATCCAGATTAGCCGCGCGCTGCGCCTGGATCGCCCGCTGGCTGAGAGTGGCCGTGGATTATCCGCCCCCTCCGGCCAATTGTCTCCGTTCGCCGGTGCGCGATTGTGCGCGCTGGAGGCAAAAATATCTTTGCTCTTTGGAGACCAGGGTCAAGAGAGAAAATATCTACTTAGCTCTCAAGAGAGCGAATATCTAGTTGCAGCTGCAGTGCGTGTGTTTGGTTTCTGTCAAGTGATTTATGAGCGAGTGGATTACAGCTATCTTGCGCCATGACTTTGGATGGAGCTCGTGGCGCGGGCTCGAGTGGCTGGTGGGAGAGAATTTTGTTTTGTGGATGCTAGTGCTCCGGAAGCATTTTGCTCCATGTTCTGCCGTTTCCCTTTTCCTTTTTTATTCTATGTTGATGCGGTGGACATATCTCCGCCATTCTTTTTTGCAGTCGCCTGTTCACAGCAGGGCTGTACCTTTGGTTGCTAGTTGTCGACATTTCGGACGACAACTGTTTCACTTGAATTGAGTTTTTCTTTACGTGGGCATTTGCAAAATTGTCCCTCCCGTTTCGTTATTCGATTTATTCTAGGTTAAATATTTTTATTTTAATCTTCAATTTCTATGATTTAATATAGTTTGGTATCATATTATTTATGTTTTAAGATACAATCATGAGAGTTATTTTTATAGTATATAATTTTCACGTTGTTAAACTATATGTATGTATAGAAATTGAAGATAAAAAATATATCTGCTTAACTTAGAACAAAGCTAGCATGATAAATATTAAAAACAGAGAGAGGAACTCAAAATGCACATTAATTTAGTGCCTCCTTATTAGGAGAAAATATTGCAATGTAGATTTTAACATATATAGTTTCTCTTTCATTGTATTTGCAATTGCTACAAACTCAACTCGTATTAAAACTCCCTTGATTGCAAAACTATTGATGCAACTTTCATACATACACTAAACACGCATATCATTTGATTGACGGTTGATTTGGATTTATAAAGACATTTTAGAGATATACAATAGAACTAGAATAACGGAACAGAAGGAGTATCACCCCTTTCCCTTTACACCTAAAACTAAAAGTGCCGCTCGAATGAATTTTATAGCTTTTTTTATTTAGTATGGCAACCTCTTAAGGCAAGTTACAATGCCATACTTATTTTATGAGTACCGTACAAAGTAAAATTATTTGTGGCATGAGTTTTAAGAAGAGAGAATAAAGCAGTTAATACATAGATGATACAATTTGGACATAAAACTAAGGTTTAGAAATTGCACATCAACTTTGGGCCCACAATCATGGACACATAAAATGCAACAAATAATTATTGACTAGTACTACCTCAGCTCACTCCTAAAAAAGACACGAACGATCTGAGTTAAACTATGTTATGTTTAGCTAAGTTTTTAAAAATAATATCAATATTTATGACTTTAAATATGTATACCATGAAAAATACATCTCATGGAAGAACTAACAATACCTATTTAGTAATATAAATATTAGTATTTTTACAAAAAAAATTGTTTGAATTTAAGAAGTTTAATTGCATTCTTTCTAGAAAGGAGGCGGTAGTTCTTAATAACCAACCACGTTATGAGATTTGCTGTGTCAATATATCTTCACACGACATGACATAATTAAAGAACATTACATGAAACAATACATTGGGAATATGCTTATAGAATCATGACAAACTTTGTGATTTACTCCTTTTGATAAACTTGTAATGTCACGAGGCTCTCTTATGTACAGTGGCAGAGTCAAGATTATACACCACGATATTACAAGAACAATTTTCTCCAAAATAAACAAGAAGCTAAGAGCACCGGTAGAACTAGACATGCTTATGCGTGCTCACAAAACTAAAACAAAGGCCCCTCAACAAGCGTAGCGTAGGTGCACGGTCTTGCACACAAATAACAATACACTTGAATTCCTTTACTAAACATACCGTACAATATATATAGTTATAATTTATAAAGAACATTAGTCTGCATAGTGGATGTAGTACACCACTACATTTATAATACCGTGACTCTGCTCTATATGCCCTTCAGATGGGCAAATCTTAAGTACACAAAGTAGACTAGGGCCTTGTTTAGATCACTTCTAAATTCCAAGTTTTTTCACTCTTTTTTCATCACATCAATTTTTGGACGCATGTATAGAGCATTAAATGTAGGTAAAAAAAATAACTAGAGCAAAATTTGGTTGTTAATCATTGATTTAATCTAATAAGTCTAGTTAAAATCGGATAAACGAAATACAAAACAAACGCGCTTTATAATGTGAAAAAAAATTTGCAATCGAAAGATAGACCTGGGCCTGAAAAGAAAGATAAAATCTACAGCGATAGCCACTCAAAGAAGCCAAACGGATACCATGCGCATCTACTGGAACAATTTTATTTTATTTTATTTTACGACGTGCTTGACAGGCAAACCAACACCAACCACGAGTTGTACTTGTACCAAGCACAGGCGCAAGATATTATCGCGGCCGAGACGAAACGCCAACCACCAGTGTACCTGACACCGCCAAATAAACATTCCCGCCACAACCCCCTGTGCCCTGTGGGGGTTTGCGGCTCTGCACCACAACCGCACGATCCAACGAAGCGAGGGGCCACCCCATCCTCGACCACACGATCCCCCTGCTCGGCCCTCTCGATCCACCACGTGTCGCTGTCCCGGCCGTAGATCTGGTCCTTTAGCTCCGGGCCTACCACGTGTCCGTACCGCTCCAGAAAATATCGGCCTCTCACCCCTCGTCGCGTGAAATATCCCAACCACTGACCAGGCTCCCGCCACGTCATCGTGGGACCCGGGGACCATGGGCCCCGCGGGCCGAACCGCTCGGTCGCCTGACGTGGCCGCAGATATTTCATGGCCCCGCGGGAGCTCGAGCTCATCACATGCCCACTTGTATGTGGCAGCGGTTGGGTGTATGTATATAGGCCGCGGCGCTTCGGCTTTGCCGTTCTCTCACAAACCGGCATTTGATTTCGCAAAGCCCACCACCAGTTCCGGTTTCTTCCGGCTTCCAACTTCCAAGTGGCGACCGCCGAGTGCGAGAAGAGGGAGAGAAGTGGTTGTCGGAATCCACTCCGGCGAGGAGTGCGGAGGTTGGAATGGGGGGAGGAGTGGATGAGGTGGCGAAGGTGGTGGATTTGGAGGACGGGGAGTGGGCGGAGGAGGCGGCGGAGGGGTCGAGCAGGGAGACGCGGATGCTGCCAAGGATGCCGGTGCGTGTGCTGCTCGCCGAGGGCGACGACTCCACGCGCCACGTCATCTCCGCGCTGCTCCGCAAGTGCGGCTACCAAGGTGCGCACCGCCGTCGCCCGCGAGTCGAATCGTTTGATTGCCTGTGCAATTGGTATTTATTTTAGGCTGCGTAGGGTTAATCAGGGGTTAAGAGCGGCTAAAATGTAATCAAAGAGTATGACGCTGAGCTGAGTCGTATGTGCAATGGAGGTTGCCGGTGTGGCGGTGTTGGTTTGTTGGAACCAATCGAAGCGCAGTTTGGTCTTGGGTGGACTTGCCAGTTTTGGGAAGTGCTCGTGTTTTCTGGGCAGTAAATTTGGGAGATCTGCTATATTGCGGTGCCTAGTGTGATACGCCTGCTTTCCACGAGACATTTTTTTTTGTCAGTGTGGGTAATTCCGTAATCGTGGTTTTTTGTTTGACAGTGATCTTAAGATATTTGACGGTCACCTCCCTTCCTGAATCTGCTAGTGTGAACTGCTGGCCTGCTGCAGTAGATGAATGTTAAAAAAGCATTGCTCTATGCGAACATACTGATGTGATTTGGTGTATAGCTGTGCTCCGTGCTCTTTAGGCCACTGAAGTTCACATGAGCCAAGTATCAACTAGGACTCCTATAATTATATAAAAAAAAGTATCAACTAGGACAATAATTGTCGCTACCTTCATGATTGGGAACATCTGCCTCTAAAGTCCGAATGTTAAATCCTGTACTGCCACAATTCTTTAGCATAGTTAGAATTGTGGTTAGGGTAGATGATCTTTTTATAGTAACTAACTTAGCTTTTTAGGTAATTTGTCTTAATGTTTATACTATTGGGTTTGTTCGGGTAACACCATTTTTAAAATTTAGAAATGGTATTTTTCATCAGCCTCATGGATTACATTTTATACATGCAGTTGCTGCAGCCTCTGACGGTGTGAAGGCGTGGGACATATTAAAGGAGAAATCTTTCAACATAGACCTTGTTTTAACTGAAGTTGATCTGCCTTTGATGTCTGGGTTCCTCTTGTTATCCACGATCATGGAGCATGATGCGTCCAAGAACATCCCTGTTATAAGTATGTCAATCTTCTCGTGTTTTCTCTCTCTCTTTTTAATCTAATAAATTGCGACTACTAAGTCTAATGCTGTTTTTTTGTCATCCAGTGATGTCTTCACACGACTCAATAAGCATGGTTTTCAAATGCATGCTAAAGGGTGCAGCAGATTTTCTTGTTAAGCCAATAAGAAAGAATGAATTAAGGAACTTGTGGCAGCACGTTTGGAGAAAACAACTCGTAAGATGACATATTTGTATCTTTTCAGCATGATTGCATTTCTTTTCATGCTTTATCCATTTATACTTAGTTTTGGTATCTGCGATGAGACTTCAGTGTTCTCTTAATTTACCTTACCTTATCTGCAGGCAAACGGTGGGTCTGATGTGCACCACATACAACAAGAAGATAATCTTGCAGAAAGAATCGAACAGAAGACTGGCATGACAAAAGCTGATAATTTGAACAGAGATGGGCCCCGTAAAAATAGAGAATGCAGTGAACAAGAAAGTGATGCTCAAGTAAGTTTTAAAATCACTGAACATAATGTTGTATAGATGCTGTTTCATTCTACTAATGGTAGCCTAGATTTTACGATTGCCTTGTAAAATGCTACCGTGAGTTACTGAGTTACATATGGCATTTGCGCTGTTCATTTTACTTTGCCCAGTAAGGATATAACATTTCCATCACCTGATATTTGGTACAAAGACAGTTTCATTACCCACACAGCATAGCCGATAGTAGGTCATGTCTGAGACATCATTGAACCATTTGGATATGTATTAATATTAGGCAACTAATTTATAAATTTTCCGAGTCAGGTGGGTAATGGAACTGTTTGTTGAATGAGAGTAATGTTTATTATTGGCCAAGTATCACAGTTCGGTCCTTTTGGTCATGGTAAAATGAAGTGCATCTGCCAAAAAATAAGGTAAGTATCTTTTGGCTGCTTGCAGGATCAGAATGTGGTACACATGCATAGTTGTCATAGACTGATGATGTAACATTAAATCAGTTTTGCGATATTTTTCGAGCTGTCATACCGCATAGTCTTCAATTCCTGATAGGTGTTAGCAGGGATTGTGTTGCTGTTTGCCAAATTTGGATATCTTTCTTCACTTAGTTCTTCATGGACTGAATTTGATACCCCTCGTGCAGAGTTCTTGCACAAGGTCAGAGCCGGAGGCTGAAAGTAAGCAAACTAACAACATTTTGGAGTATAAGCAATCTACTGAAAGACATTTGTCTATTCCTAGCCACAAGAATGTTGAGCTAAATGGACAGACCAAAATACGAAGTAATTTTTTCCCCATCTTTTCAACTTGTGATGTACAATTTGTCTGCAGGAAATTTACTAATGTAACCTGCTTGTGATGTGGCAGCAGCTAAGGGTAATAACTTGATTCCAACAAGAGAAGGTGATTTATCGCCAAAGAAAAGAACATGTTTGAATGACAATAATTCTGAGAGAGCTTCCAAAGATATGGAGCTAGTCCACATTATGGACAATCAGCAGAAGCATAGCATACAGAGGGAGGTGGATACTATGAGAACAACATCTAGGGGAAATGATGATGAGAAGGGCTCCATCCCAGCACACCAGTTGGAACTTTCTCTTAGAAGAACTGACTACGGAAAATTGGAGAACCACGAGAAAAATGATAGAAGAACACTGAACCATTCAACTTCGTCTGCATTTTCCTTGTAAGTGCTCCTTTCTTTGGCTTTTCATAATAAATATACTTTCGTCATCCTCAAAACTTCTGTAAAGTAGATAAGTCTAGTTACAGATCTGGTTGTTATTTTTGTGAGTTTTTTTTTTGGCTCCTAGTGTGGGTACAGGCTAACAGAAATTTTGCCAATAACTTTTGACATTTATCTTTTCTTTTCCAACCATATTTAAGAGACTCTTTTAATAGTGACTTACCATGAGACGATCTCGAAGCATAAAAGATCCAACTATTGTAGCCACAACATAAACTTTGACATGGAACTTCAAGTGCCCTTTGCTGTAGCTTACTGCACAATTTGCTTGTTTTCGAAGTTCCACAAGTGCACATTGCTGTATCTTACTGTTGGAAGTATCTTGTCGACAGGTATAATTGCAGGGCTGTGTCCACCTTAGGAAATGCTGGTGATGGTCAATTATGCAGCACCTCAGAAACACTAGTGGATGTTGACAATAAAAATGGAGATTCGGCAGCTCCCTCTCAAGACATGACTGAAACAAATCGTCCTCCTATTAGAGTCGTACCATTTCCTGTCCCTGTTCAAGGTCTCACATTTGATGGGCAGCCATTCTGGAATGGTACACCGATGGCATCCCTATTCTACCCACAGTCAGCTCCTCCCATTTGGAATAGCAAAACATCCATGTGGCACGAATCAACCCCACAAGCAACCTCACTGCCCCAAAAATCGCAACAGAATGAGCCAAATGAAATGGGTGCTAAACCAGTTGAAAATGCAGAGGAACCATTTGTCATAGGTCCTCCCAGTGCCAGTGGGAAGCAGCTGCATGTTGAAATTCCTAAAGATGATCCACGGCATATTTCTCCTATGACTGGTGAAAGTGGAATTAGTACCGTGCTAGACAGCACCAGAAATACTCTGAGCAGCAGTGGCTGTGATAGCATTTCCAACCAGATCACTGCCCCTACTAAATCATCCAATGTATATAAGGGTGTTCCTGAAACCCCAAGCGCCGAAGGTTCACGACACTTGAGCCAGCGTGAGGCTGCACTGAACAAGTTCCGGCTAAAGAGGAAGGATAGGTGCTTTGAGAAGAAGGTAAGCAACTAATTGCACGTTTTCATTTCAATCCAATTCTTGATGTCACCTACTAGGACCTGTGATTTATGCCTTCACACTCATTTGCAGGTTCGATACCAGAGCCGGAAATTACTTGCAGAGCAGCGTCCACGGGTCAAGGGCCAGTTTGTTCGTCAAGATCATAGCATCCAAGGAAGCTAAGATCCTGTCACTGAGCTGCAAGTGACTCCCCTGCGGGTATCCTAATGTTTGGTTTTGTTGAAGAGTTGGAAGCAATCACACTGAGTTACAGTTTGCTCTGTATATTTCCTAAAGCTTGTAATATATGTATGTATAGGCTAACGCTGTTCTTTCATAGGTTAGGCACAGGACCTGGCACGTTTTTAGAGGGTTTGTCAGTAGGCGTTAGAAAATACAGGCATACTTTGTTTCAGGTCAAGATGAGATGTGACCTCCAGTAGCACATGTGTGCTTTATTTAAGCCTTGTATTACGTAACTAGCCCAAGTTGTTTGATGTTTCGGATTAGATGTACACTCTGTAGATGGATGATGCAAAGGATGTCCACCAAAACATGCTCGTTTCTGTGCAGCTTGTCGCAATGAACATTGTTGGCCTGGTTTGTGCTACCGCTCTCTTGCCGCGAGTACTACTGTGAAATTTTCTACTCTGAATTTGAATGATGGGTTTTGTGAGCAGATCATGTCTCGAGCTGCTTCGTTGTAAATCTGCAAAGTTATATTCCGTTTGCAGGGAACATCTGCTTGTTTACAGTGGCCTCGTCTGCTATCGTCTACGCCACTGCCCTGCCCTGTTTTCCGGAGCCTCAGCGCCAGAGGTAGCCCGTGAGCCACGCCACCATCTCACGCTCGGGGCCGGGCCGCCACATGCGGCTGAACTAGGCTTCCACCGCAATTCTTCTCCTTCGTTCCTGTTTTGCGTGTAATATTAAATGGATACAGTGAATGGTAAAAAGAACCAGAGAGATTTCATTGATCTTTGATGTGCATATATATACATGTCGTACGGACGCCATGGAGGCGTGCACGCATGTAACCGCTCCATGAAACCGACGGTTCGCAAGACAGAGGGAGAAGGGAGCGTGAGCAGTTCCCGCTCTGAGAGCGTTCCCAGATGAGATCAATCCCTTTGTAGTTGTAACACTCCCCCTTTGATCAAATCCATCTTGAGAATGAAAAGTATTAATCCTTCAAAAAGTCATGTACGATAAAAACGAGGAGAAATACTTGATAGATACGCTGTTAAAAACTCCTTCAAACCCAATGAAAAAATAAGGAGAAAGTGATACATCATATAATGATTATTGCCTCATTGTAAACTTATATGAGAAAACCTTTGCAGGAGAAAACTCATAGATAGTTTAGAGGACAATATATGTCATTGGTATCTCCTTAAAAACCCCGCGGGGGAAAACAGGAAATACGACATATGCTTATGCTAATATTGCCTCATTAAAAACTTCATATGAGAAATCTTGAGAGTAAAACTCATACGAAGAAAAGAGTGTAATATGATGGTTTGGATAGGGCAACATTTAGGAGATTTCTCCCCCTGAACTTTGCAAATCTCGAAGTCGTCGCATACCAATTCCTTCAACACATTTCTAGAACGAGAAAGCTGGTAAGGACTTAGTGAACAAATCAGTGAGGTTATCACATGATTTGGTTTGCAAGATATCTATTCACTCATTTGTTTTAACTCATGTGGATAAAACAACTTGGAAGAAATATGTTTGGTTATGTTGCTCTTGATGTAGCCTGTATCCATCTGTGTAACACAAGCAGAATTATCTTCATAGATAATAGTTGGCGAATCAATGTGTTGTATGTGGTTGATCACTCTACGAAGCCAAACACATTCACGTGAGACCTCGTATAGTGCAATTATTTCAGAGTGATTAGTGGAGGTAGACATAAGGGTCTGTTTTGAAGACTTCCATGAAATGGCTGTCCCTCCGTGTAAGAACGTAAAACCTGTCTAGGATCGGCCATTATGGGGATCAGATAAATAGTCGGCATCAGTGTATCCGATTATATTGGAGTCTGGGTTCCTTTGGAAAAATAATCCAAGATCTCTTCTACCATTTACATATCTGAGGATATGTTTTACTCCCGTCCAATGACGTTTGGTAGGAGCAGCGCTATGTCGAGCTCGCAAGTTCACTGCAAATACAATATCAGGCCTGGTGCAATTTGCAAGATACATGAGCGCTCCAATGGCACTGAGATATGGGTAATGAGGTCCAAGAATCTCTTCTTCATCCTGTGGTCTGAATTGACCAGTCTTCAGCTCTAAAGACCGAACAACCATAGGAGTTTTGGAGAGATATGATTTGTCCATATTAAATTTCTCCAATACTTTCTGGATATAGGCAGATTGATGCACTAAAATTCCAGTGGGATGGTGCTCAAGTTGTAAACATAAGCAAAATTTGGTTTGACCCAAATCCTTCATTTCGAACTCTGTCTTTAGATGATTGCATGCTTCATCAATATCGTGTGGGTTGCCAATGATATTTAAATCATCAACATACACTGATATTATGCAAAATCCCGTTGGGGACTTTTTGATGAAGACACATGGACAATCATCATTGTTAGTGTATCCCTTCTGCAGAAGGAACTCACTAAGTCGGTTATACCACATTCTTCCCGACTGCTTTAAGCCATAGAGTGACTTTTGAAGCTTTACACAGTACATGTTGTGATTTGCGTTCTGATCCGGTATAGATATTCCATCGGGAACCTTCATATATATATATGAATCAAGTGACCCATATAGAATGCGGTCACTACATCCATCAACTGCATAGATAGACAATTTTGAATAGCTAGAGATATAAGATATCGGAATGTTATTCCACTCATAACTGGAGAATATGTTTCATTGAAATCAACGCCGGGTCTCTGCGTGAACCCTTGTGCTACCTCGTTGTTCTCATTCTGTTTCCGGACAAAAACCCATTTGAATCCCACAGGAAAGATTCCACGAGGTGTAGGTATTGCATGAGTGAATACCTTTCTTTTAGAGAGCGAGGACAATTCTGCTTGAATTGCATCTTTCCATTGATTCCAGTCCGAGCGCTTTTTATACTCTGCCATGGTCTTAGGATCTGGATCATTTTGGATGTTTTTCTGCAATTGGTTCAGCGAAATAAATGTCGACAATTGTAGACTTTCTGTCATATGATTCTCTAGATTCAATGTAGTTGATGGAAATTTCACGCACCCTTTGTGATGTATCATTATTTCCCAATATGATTGCATCAGGGTGTTCCGATGTCCCAACATCAGTAATTGAGTGCACTGTTGATATGTGATGTGAAGGTTGAACCTCCACAGGGTGTCTCTCAACATGAGGTTGAGTTGCATTTGCTGTGTTGGGAACTTTGTTCTTCCCTTTCCTTTGCTTGTTAGAAGCTGCATCCATGGAAATAGCCATACTTCTCCCCCTCTTACTTGGGAGTTGAGTAGTTTTGTTTGGTACCTCTACTCTTTTCGGCACATTTTTCGTAGGATTGTAGGATTTTGTAACACCCTTGTAATCAGCAAATGCATCTGGCATGTTATTTGCAATGTGTTGCAAATTGATGATCTTCTGAACTTGAAGTTCAGTTTCAGATGTACGTGAATCTGAATTGGAGATGGATGTGGCATCCCAATTGATTTCCTATCATTGTTTGTGGTTTTCAGTTTCTCCCCCTAATATCGGGAAATGATCTTCATTGAAGATACAATCAGCGTACCGGACAGTAAATACATCCCCTATAAGGTGTTCTAGGTATTTAATGATCGACAACGATTGATATCCCACGTAGATCCCTTCCTGTGTGGGCCCATAGATGTACGCTGTGGTGGTGAGATCGGTACGTATATAGCGCAGCCGAACTTCTATAGATGGGAAATATTTGGTGTATTTCCACATACAAGTTGCAATGGAGAGGTTGCATGGTATGAAGTTGGACGCAATTGAATCAAGTCAGCAGCGTGTAAGACTGCGTGACCCCAACAAGATATTGGCAGATTACAATTCTGTAGTAATAGTCTTGCAATAAGCCTCACTCTCTTGATGAGAGATTCTGCCAACCCATTTTGAGTATGAACATATGGGACCGAGTGCTGAACTTGAATTCCTAAGGCCATGCAATAATCATTGAAGGTACGTGAGGAAAATTCAGCAGCATTATTCATTCGGATAGATCGGATTTGATGTTCAGCATATTGTGCTTTAAGTTTGATAACTTGTGCAACAATCTTAGCAAATGCATGGTTCCTCGTGGAGAGGAGACTCACATGAGACCATCTTGTAGATGCGTCTATGAGAACCATGAAATACCTGAACGACCTAGACAATGGTTGAATAGGACCACATATGTCACCTTGAATGCGTTCAAGGAACTTTAGAGGTTCGACATGAATTTTGAGGTAAGAGAGCCTCAAAATTAAGTTCCCCGTGGCACATGCAGTGCACACAAAATATGAGGATTGGGGAAATTTTGCATCACTTAAAGTGTGACCAATAGAATTGCTTATAATTTTCCTCATCATCCCGATGCCAGGATGGCCAAGGTGATCATGCCAAGTTTGGAATGCGTTAACATTCTAGAAAATTACTTTGTAAGCAACATGTGGTACGGGTTTGATGTATGTGTAGTACAATCCAAACGGGAGTGAGGGAACTTTTTCAAGTGTCTCTTTGCCATATCCGTGATCTTCTGTAATGAGAAGAAACTCCTCATTGTTTGTCCGCATGAGTTTCCACATGAAACCCATTCTTACGGATATCTCTATAACTCAATAGGGTACACGTTGAATCGGGATACAGTAATACATCCTCAATTGTTAGCGACGTACCCATAGGGAGCTGAAAGGTCCTTGTGTTGTTTTGGTAATTGATTGACAACCCTAGGTGGACTAATTGTGTTTATATGAGATACACAGGTGATTAGTCCACAAGTACATGTGTGTGAGCAACATATGTCGTGAAGGTAAAAATGGTTTAGAGATATTGCAAAGCTCACACATGTGATGATGAAGGAGTTTATTGCACATGAGACATTACATTGAGTCATGTGATCAAGGTGGAGAAGATCAAGACAAGACTTGTCTTGATGGACCGGTTGCAAGCGTGAAGGGCAAGTCAGAGGCTTTGGAGCGATGGACCGCGTGGCGGTGAAGCTTG